ATTATTATTGTTGTTTCTTGTATGGGATAGGTACGTATAAAGTGTTGTAGTTTAAGTGCTATTGACTTTTCCATAATTACATTTGTGTTATAATAGCAGAATTTGCTGAATTAGCTAACTTTCTTTGTTGCAGCCGTGAGGTATCAAATCAATAAAATAATCTAACTTCTTATACTTCCTTTTTTTTAATTGACTCAATTTTAATTGAGTAATACATCTCACGACTGGAAAGACATAAATTTATCTCTTACTCTTTCTCTCTCTCTCTCTTTATCTTTAATCAAAAGTTAAACAATAAAAAAATATTTACACGACAAATCTTTAGATGGATCTGTACCATTGGAGCCCCTTGTGTATCAACAAAGCGCCGACCGCGTCCACCAGCATACATTTGCGACGACCGCTTAGCGACCCATGTAAAATATTGTTTTTTGCCAATATCCGAACCGGGCGCATATACGAGTTGATTAGACCAAGGGACAGAGAATAAATTAAATACGCTACGGAAAAGGGAAAGTTATACCTACTACATTTCGTAATGAGTTCAGGTACTTCTTTCTAATTTAAACGTTCTTAAGCAATAAAAATGTAGTTGAATGTATATTAAAGTAGTGAGGCCTTGTGAGGCGTTATTAAATTAATAGTTTTGAGTGTAAATTGACATACACTTTAAATGTTTTAACTACTAGGAGAAAATTTAATAGTTTTAGCTTAAAAACAAAATCATCTGGATTTTTTTTTCTTTAACAAAAAGATAAGGTTCCACCGAGATTTGAACTCGGATCGCTGGATTCAAAGTCCAGAGTGCTAACCATTACACCATGGAACCGATTAATTAACGTAACCGATTTGTTAATGCACTAATTGATTTATTTAATACGATATTAACGCATACTTTAATATTTACACAGGTGTTGGTAAAGGTCTACAATTTTATTCAAGTAACAGAAAAAGCAGATCGTATCCAACGGTTCCATGGTGTAATGGTGAGCACTCTGGACTTTGAATCCAGCGATCCGAGTTCATATCTCGGTGGAACCTGAACTTTTGATAAAAACTAATATAGCATAAGTTAGTAGATTATTTTGTTTTCTTCCGAGTCTATGGTTAGTTTAAAATTGTGGATTAACAGATAAATTTCTTCTCAGTTTAATTAAAATAAGTAAAATCTCATAAAAATATTTGGACTATTAACTACATACTGATTCCGTTAAAGGTTCCGCCCGCGTGGTCCTGTATTATACATATAAAACTTCTTCTTAAATCACTCTGTATATTGAATAAAAACTGCATTAAATCCGTTGTGTAGCTTAAAAATTATCAGGGAAAATATTACAGACAGCGGGATGGGACTTCGTTATATACGATAAGTGTATAAAAAGAACACACGAAACCTATTCGAATGTGACAACAAATTAATTAAATCCACCCAGTCTCCGAGACTAATATCTGTGGAGTTAGGTGGCAATATGAAATATGAAACAGTATGCCATCCCATCCGTACCTGGGAACCAGTCACATATTGATTGATGTCTTGAATATTTTATTTCAACTCTTTCGGAAGGGATATCCCGCTAAAACTTTTGAAGAATATTGGTAGTCACTCGGAATTTTGACGAGGGCTTCATAAAATCGGGTTATATAGATTTCGTATTGTTTGGCAGAATTAGCATAATATGTTAGTGTTTTATATTTTTTATAGTTATGTTTATTTGTTGCAATTATTTGCTTGTTTGGTTTTGTAGTTGATTCTCATATATAATGATTAAAGTGATTTCATTTTCATAGTAATTTAAATTAGAATGATTGCTATTAACATGTTAAAAAAAATTTATTGATTGGTTCGGAATTCTGTTGAGAGGTAAGCTCTCATGTGAGTTCTCATGAAGCTTAACAAAATGTTCGAACAAAAGCAGCCGCCATGTTTTAAATTAATTAATATTAATGAATTAAGTTATCTTCTAATTTTTCTAGTAATATCAATGACCTTTGTCTTGTTTCTGATCGCACTGTTTTCCATTCTATCTAATTTCTTCACGTTGAGCATACTTCTCTCCATTGAGTATTGGCAGGTTGCCAACTTGCTTGTCAAATCCCGAGTTAGAGTCCACGATTGGCAGCCGTACATTAAAACGGGCAATATACATCTATTAAATAGTTTGCTTTTCATGCTTATATGTAGTTTTTTGTCTTTCATTACTTCTTTTAGTCCCCAGTACCTCTTCCAGCCATTAGTAATTCGTCTCGTAACTTCCTTTTGCATGGGCTCGTGTTGAGTTATGATCTGCCCCAAATATATATATTCATCAGTGTAATGTATTTCTTTTTGTTCTAGTTGTATTGTACTTTTATTTCCGTTTGTCATTACTCTTGTTTTTTCTGGATTCAGTTTTAATCCTACTTTATCACTTTCTATCGCAAGTTCTCTTATCATTCGACTTATATCGTTTGAAGTTTTGGCAAATAGCACAATGTCATCAGCAAATCTCAAGTGCGTCAGCAATGTCCCGTTAATATTAATACCAAGCTGTTTCCAATTAAGTTTCCTGAAAATATGTTCCAGTACCGCTGAAAACAGTTTTGGTGACATGGGGTCGCCTTGTCTTACGCCTCTTTCTACTGTAAATGCTGTGCTTTTCTTTTCCAACTTAATCTTTGCTGTGCTATGACTATATACGTTTCTTATTAATCTTATATATTTTTGCTCAATTCCTTGTTCTTTTAGTGCCTCCCATATTTTTGCGTGAATCAAAGTATCAAACGCTTTACTATAGTCGATAAACGCGATATAGTATGTAAGGTTGTATTCGTTATATAGAGAAGTATAACGAATACAACCTTACATACTATATCGCGTATTTGGCGTACTACGTAAATGTGGTCGATAACTGAGTAGCCTTTACGAAAACCTGCCTGCTCTATAGATTGGTGTTCCTCTAGTGTACCTTCTATCCGTTTCAATATTATTTTAGAAAATATCTTGTACAGGTTTGACATAAGGCTTATAGGACGATAGTTGCCAATATCGTATTTATCGCCTTTTTTATATAAAAGGATGATGTTAGACTCCAACCACTGGTGCGGAATAATTTCCGTGTTTATGATATCGTTAAATATATCCGTTAGAACCGGTATGCACACCTCTTTACTTTTTTTTAAGATTTCGTTATTTATTCCGTCGGGTCCTGGCGCTTTGTCTACGTTCTGGGTTTCAATAGCTTTTTTTACTTCAGATGTGATAATTCTAGGAACATCAGAGGTTTCTTCTAGATCAACTACCTCGTTTATGGTGTTACTTGCATATAATTTCTTATAATACGTTGTAGCTGTACTGAGTATGTCTGTTCGGCGACGATTCCATTTCTGTCTATCGTTTTTTAATTTTACTATCCAATTTTTATACTGTAATTCTCTATACGCTTTTTTAGTTCCACCTGTTTTCTCAATACACTTTTCAATAGTTTTCATTCTATGTTGTTTCCGGTCCTTTCTTATGCTATTCTTTATTTCTTTGCTTATTTTTGTTAGCTGTTTTCTTTTACCTGGAGTGTCTCTTGCATTAATCAAATAGTTTCTTTCTTCTAATAGATTAACAGTATTAGTTGATAGATTTTTCTTTGATTCTTTGTTAGTGTTCGTAGTTAACTTAGTTTGCGATTTTATAGTGTCCTCAATCCAGTTATATTTTTCTTGAGTTCTTAATTCTTTTGTTGAGCCCTCGAAGTTTGTAAATGCGTCTTGTAAAGCAGTTTTAATTTGTTCTATATCGAGGTTTTTAGGATTTTCGTACTCTGTATATTGTCTTGGTCTGATATTTTTTGGTTGTTTCGCCGTTAATTCTGTTCGTATCAATTTATGATCAGTGTTGAAATTTAGATTCTTAATTACATCGAAGTTTGTGAAATATCTGGTTTTGTTGGTCATTATAAAATCAATTTCATTTTTATTCTTCCCATCCGGTGAGATCCAGGTCCACATGTTCTTTTTGTTTTTCTTGTATACTGTATTTAATATGGTCAAGTTGTTCCCCAGTGCAAATTGAATAATTCTTTCTCCATTCTTGCTTCTAGTTTTGTTGTAATACGTGAAGCTTCCTATTGTGGACTCTTCTCCGGGGTGTCTTTTACCAATTTGACCGTTGAAATCTCCCAGTACTATTAAGTTTTTGTGGCAGTGCTCTATAATTGCTTTATTCAGATCGAGGTAAAATTTATTTATAGTTTCTTCTTTAGCTTGCTCTGTAGGTGAATATACTTGCACAATAGACCAGGGAGCTTTGTAACCTGGTAGTTTTAGATTTATTATTGCAATACGTTCTGAGATCCCTACAAATCCTTCTACATACTCTGCTATTTGTTTTTTGATAATAAATCCCACCCCATATTGGCCTGGGGTTTCCCCTATATGAAAAAGTAAATAGTCTGGGTGTACAATTATATCTTCCCCCACTCGCCTAACTTCGCTGAGTCCTAAAATATCCCATTTGATTTGTTCTAGCGCATACATTAGTTCTGATAAATTCTCTTCTTCCCTCAAGGTACGTACATTTAAAGTTGCGACGTATATTTTTGATTCTTTGTGTTTATGATTGTGGCATAGTTTATTTTTATATTCTTCTATTGTTGGAAGGTTGCGGTCTCTTTCCCCCACGATGACCAGTCGACTTGGGGAAGCTTTGTGATTTGTTGAGTCTTTGTTATCAGTTGCTTTGGTTGGTTTTAGATTCCGTTTGCCGTTGTTTAATTGCTATTGTTTTTTATTGAAAGCTAGGTTTGAAAGAGAAGTCGATCTTGCCCGCATCATGCCAAACGCATCAGCAGAGGCAGATGGCCCCTTAAACATAGTTGGATGACGAGACTGTTGATTTTTTGGTTGACTATTGCCAGCGGTCGGTGAAGTGGAGGTCTCTCTTTTTCTTTTCTCTTGTTGGTTAATATTCTGTTTTACTATAAGTCTATCGTACTTCAGGTAGGCAATATTGCCCTTATTCCTCTCTGCTACTAACTCTGTTTGTAACTGTTTTCTCTTTTGCAGCACTTCCTTTGGGTAGTCCTCGGTGATGTAGATTTTTTTAAATTCTTCTTATTTTTAATAATTTCATTCTTCTTCCAATTGTTTACAAACGAGCATAAGATCGGCCTCGACTTATTATCTTCTGGTTTTTTATGCCCTAACCGATGTATTTTGTTGACTTCAAAGTTTTCTAAATTTATTTCTAGGTCTTCTTTGAAATGTTCCTTTAATTTTTGTATTAAGTCCAGTTTAGATGTTTCTATCTCCTCTAAGCCAAATATTATAATGTTGTTTTCTCGCTGTCCTCTTTTTAGGTACTCTAACTCGTTCTCTAATTTTTCTACCTTTGTCCTTAGATTTCTGTTCTCCTCCACTAAAGGGATTAGTTTCTCGTCTATTTTAGCCATTATTGTGTTAGATTGGGTTTCCATCTCAATCTTCATTTTTTCGAACAAAAGCTGAAATTGTCCATCCATTTTGTAGGTTTTTGTGTGTAACGGAACGTAACGTAGAAGGTATAAATCTCGGGTAGAAATATTTATCTTCGTTGGTAACACTGACAGCAATGTCAACTAATGTCAGTTGTGTTTGCGTCAAATATTGATAGTTGATAATTTCTAACCTCCAAATTGTTGCTGTTTTTGTGTTTTATATTTGAACAATTCCAATAATTTATGAAAACACTGGTTATTTGTACACACTTCACAATATTTCCACTATTGTTTTCAAACGGAATAAGTGTGTAATAACAGCTCGAACTATTTGTTTTCACTTGATTTTATCGGAGATTATAAAAGTGGTGTTCACAGTTTGCATTTTATTCAATTTCAATATGTATGATGATTAATTTTTGTTTGTTTGCCCCTCAGGTAGATTATTTAATATTTTTTTTTAATTTTTGCGTAATTAATAAATTACGGCGATCGCATGACGTCACGCTTTTGTATATTTTCTAGAAAACTGTAACGTAGCGAGCCCCCTCTCTTCAACTTTAATGTCTAATATCTAAACAATTCCTAGTTAAATTGAAGCAAAAAATATTTTTCTATTATCTGACTGGCGGACTTAATAGAATTTCTTTTTTAAATCAGTCAAGTCCACTATGCCAGACTACCAGACAGACATGTCCTATGTAGCTCCGTTTTGTCTTTTTGGAACAACCTTACTTTTTAACCTTAAAAAGTAAATAAATTATGTTAATATAGAAATTCTTGTATAATTTACATGAATATATGTAATAAAATACAAATAGTTTTAAGTTTTGAAGAACTATATGCCATCTTTGTAATTTTTGTTGTCAATATTTCTGGTTTCACAAAAACAAACTCAGATTATGTATTTTTAAATTTGCCGCCGAAATGTAAAACAAATGACAAATGAATGAAATACTTTATCAATAATATTAACAAAGAGTTCCATTTTCAAAATTTAAACTTATTTTTATTACATTGATTACAAGTGGCCAGTTCAAAAAACTTTCAGGGTCGCCCTCCTTTTATTTTAAAGAGAGTATTGTAAAAATCTATGTGGACGTTTAATCATAAATGTTCGTAAAATTTGACTTTTTATGCAAACGTTGGCGTAAGTTATTAGTAGAATAAATATTAAAAATATAGGAAGTTTAATAATTAGATTTTTTGAGTATAACTCGCGTAAACCTTGCAACAATAACACCCGCGTGACTGTTTCTATGAAAATAGAAAGTATAGATAGCACAAAAGGCAAGACATAAATTATTATTAAATTTTTGAAATATTTTCGGAAAAGTATCTATTTATATTTAAATATTGAGGTATATAGAAAAAAAAATTGTAATAACGCGCGATAGCAAACGGAGAAAACATTTTTTTAAACATAACCAAAATTAATAATGAACTGAGAAATATTAGATAATTATTATAAGTGAAATTATGTTTACTTATTGTGAAAATCATAATAGCAGCTACTATTTTTAGTCACCACAAAAAAATACAACATAACTATCGAAACCAACAAAACATAACAAATTGGTCAATTCTTATATAGAATAACATCGTAAATAGATAATAAAATAATAAAAGAAACAGTAACTCATTGTTTCATTCATTCACATATTCATAAGTAGGTACCTATCTAGATACTAATAAATTATGTATTCTAAATAATGAAATCATATGATAGATTAAATGCTATGAAAGGTATGAACGTAAAAAGTGATATGCTGTTAATAAATAACCTCAACCTCGACGTCGAAGACAGCGCTGTGACAACATAGAGCTGCAATGAAATAGAACATTTGTTACCTTTGGAAGTAGGCTTTATTGGATTGGACATCTATACAGTGTAAATACACTTTGAATTGAGCTTAGTATGTTAGCGCTGCGCTCGACGTCGAGTTTGTAGTTGTTTTTAAAAATAAGGAACAATAGCACGGTTCATTTGTTATTGGTCTTTTAAATATGAAATCGCCCGCAAAAATAAATTATATAAATTCTAATAAATATCTTCGTAAATATTGTAGTGATATCATTTTACTGCCAACTAAGATTGGACACTTTCCAAGAATATACAGACAGACACGACGAAAATCAAAAAGATGGATACAAACAATCATTCAAATAATAATAGAATACAGCTAAAAGCTAAGCGTGGATTGTAATCGATATTTTCAAACGGATTCTTAACCGGTTCCATGGTGTAACGGTTAGCACTCTGGACTCTGAATCCAGCGATCCGAGTTCAAATCTCGGTGGAACCTGACTTTTTGTATATGTTCATATTTATGTCTTATTATTTCAATTGATATTATGCTGTTTTATTTATATAATAATTTGATTAATCAAAACTAATTTATTATTAAAATATTAATGAATCCTCCGATTAAAGTTTATTTTATCGGTTTAAAAAAAACGTTTTTTTGAAAACAAAATAATACACTAAACATTTCGTCAATAAACTACCGGAGTTAAATATTCTAGGATTGCAACCATCTAATTTACTCGCTATTAGTCTAGCAATAGCTATAATAACGTTTAAATGATAAAAAAAACCATAGCTTTTTATTTTCAATTCAGTTACCAAATATTTTGGTTTATTTTATTTTTAAAACAGCTTTGTTTGTCTAAATTCGATATTAATTTAGTCAACACTTAATATAGGCCAGAAAACTACAAGGTAAATTAATTCATAATAGAAAAAATATTAAGAAATATTAGCTTCAACAGGGATGGCGACTGGATAAAAAAAGGAAATACTGTTCAGTTCGTCAGTCAGTTAGTAGAAAAATATTATATAATAACGAGAAATAGCTTAGTAATAGGCTTTAAAGTTGGGAAGGGCTCGCTACGTCACAGTTTTGTAGAAAATATACAAAAGCGTGACGTCATGCGGCATTTCAACTCAATGTATCGCCGTATTTTATCGATTACGCAAAAAATAAAAAATACGTAATTAATATTATTCAATAATCAACCCGACAGATAAATAAACAAAAATTAATCGTCATCCCTATTCGTTGAGGACGATAAATATCCATATCACATTTAAATCATAACATATTATCTGCAAATATGTTATCTGTGGTAAAATGGAAAATTTTTACCAACAGCAAATAATATACTAAAAAAATAGGCAGTAAATTTTTAAAAAATATTTATTAATAAACCTTTCCTTGATACTTTGCCCGTGTAAAATGCGAAAATTATAGTCTATGGCACCTGCGTATTACGTAATTTACATCTGCGTATATTGTAAAGAATTTCCGATGATAATTATACGAGGGTCAAACTGAAAGTTCTTAGAACTGGCCACTTATAAACAATATAATAAAAAAATAATTCTAAAATTTGAAAATATAACTCTTTGCCAATATTACTGAGTATATATTTCATTCATTTGTCATTTGTTTTACGATTTGGCGGCAAATTGAAAATTGTCTGTGTCACGTCATCATGAATTTAACACGAGAAAATTTTCGTGCAATGATTTTTTATGACTTTCGATGTCATTTAAGTCAACAAGAAAGTTATGATAGACTACGATTGGCCTTTCACGATGAAGCCCCATCTCGTGCGACTGTTTACAACTGGTTTAATGAGTTTAAACGTGGTCGCACTAATCTCACTGATGATTTACGTGAGGGACGGCCTTCTACGGCGACGACTGAAGATAACATCTGTGTTGTGCGGCGTATGATAGAGACTGACAAAAGAGTGACCTATCAACAGATTGGATTCCTCATAATTTGACTGAGGCTCAAAAACTCCATCGTGTGGATTGGTGTCGTAAAATGATTGAAAGATTTAACGGAGGTGACTCAAATGCTGTGTTCGACATAGTAACAGGTGACGAAAGCTGGATTTACTGTTATGATCCTAAAACCAAAAGACAATCTGCTCAGTGGGTGTTTCCTTTCGAGGAGTTGCCAACTAAAGTGAAGAGAGATCGAAGTGCGGGGAAAAAAATGATGGCCTCGTTCTTTGGAAGGATAGGTCATTTTGCAACAATTGTGTTAGAGGATCAAAAAACAGTTTCTGCAGAATGGTACACTACCAATTGTTTGCCACTTGTCTTGGAAAAAGTTCGAGAGAAACGACCTCGCAGTAGGATCCTCCTTCACCACGACAACGCCTCGTCGCACACCGCCAAGCGAACGATCGACTATTTGGCGACATCAAACGTTGAATTACTGGGTCACCCGCCGTATAGCCCCGACCTCGCGCCTTGTGATTTTTATTTATTTCCAAAAATTAAAGAAAAACTTAAAGGAAAGCGGTTTATGAATGCTGAAGAAGCGGTGGCTGCGTATCGCGATGCCATTGAAGAGACCCCTAAGGACGAGTGGGCAAAGTGCTTTTCCCAGTGGTTCCATCGCATGCAGCGGTGTATTGACGTGAATGGACAATATTTTGAAAAGATATAATAAAACTAATAACTGGCTAATGTAATCAGTTTTTGATTTTCTAAGAACTTTCAGTTTGACCCTCGTATAAGATAAATTAATATAAGATAGATTAATAATAAATCAAAAAAATTAAACATTAGTACAGTAGTATATTAGTAGCTTGGTGTCTTGGTGAAAAGGCGATGCTGACCGCGATCGTTATTGTTAAGCAACTTACGCAATGGTCGGTCACGGGATGGGTGAACAAAAATATTATCTCGAGCTATTCCGTGCTTCGGAAAGCACGTTAAGCCGTTGGCCCCAACTGCTTTTGCAGTCGTTAATACCTCCACGCTAGCCCAATGCGGATTGGAGCATTGGGCTAGCGTGGAGGGTCACGACCAATCCTCCTTAACCAACCATGAGGCTTGAGCCCCTGCAGTGGAGACGTAAAAGGGCTGATGATGATAATAGATATCCAACTCAAACTGTGATTTAAAAAAGCAACTAGATAAAAGGTGTAATACATTTCTGAAGAGTAAAAAGTAGCTGCTGTTCCTGGTGATGAGCCTTTCCAATCAGCATTACAATACAAACTCACAAAATGTACAATAC